AGCGGGGAGCAGCGGCAGCAGGCCGGTTTGGGGGTGCAGGCGGGGTTGCAGCAGGGCTGCAGCGAGGGGTCCTGGCCCTTGTCCATCTGGCTGTCCCCGAAGCGCAGCCGCTGCTGCAGCAGCGCCTTCTCCAGCGCGATGTCCTTGAGCGCCTGCAGCGCCTCGGGGCCCGGCCGGCCCCGCAGCAGGTTGTAGTTCTCGGCGGGATCGGCCTCCAGGTCGAAGAGCAGCGGGGGCAGGTGCGGGGTGAGCGGGGTGAGCCCGTGGCACGCCTGGTCCGGGGTGGTGTCGCTGTGGAAGGAGCCTGAGGCACCGGCAGCGCCAAAAACAGGGCTGAGCGCGCGGCGTCCTCCGGGAGATCCGGGCGGCACCGAACGCCACCCCAAAAACCACGAAAGACACTCAAAAAAACTCCCAAAACCACCCAAAAAACCCCAAAAGCCACCCAAAAAACCTCCCAAAACCATCCAAAAAAACTCCCAAACCGCCCCCAAAAAACCCACCCAAAAAATCCCAAAAGCCATCCAAAAAACCTCCCAAAACCACCCAAAAAACCCACCCAAAAAAACCCCGAAAGCCACCCAAAAAAACTCCCAAAACCACCCAAAAAACCCCGAAAGACACCCAAAAAAACTCCCAAAACCATCCAAAAGACCTCCCAAAGCCACCCAAAAAAACTCCCAAACTTCCCCCAAAAAACCCACCCAAAAAACCTCGAAACCCACCCAAAAAAACTCCCAAAACCACCCAAAAAACCCACCCAAAAAAAACCCAAAACCCACCCAAAAAACCTCCCAAAACCACCCAAAAAACCCTGAAAGCCACCCAAAAAACCTCCCAAAACCATCCAAAAAAACTCCCAAACCGCCCCCAAAAAACCCACCCAAAAAACCTCAAAACCCACCCAAAAAAACTCCCAAAACCACCCAAAAAACCCACCCAAAAAAACCCCAAAACCCACCCAAAAAACCTCCCAAAACCACCCAAAAAAACTCCCAAACC